GCGGCAAGAAGGCAAAGTCAGCGGACGAGTCGCGCGCGTACTATAGGGATTTCGCGTCAAGTTAAATAGAGTGTCCCATTGCACGTCCTACATCGCACATCACGCGCTGCAACTCGTCCGCCGACTCTGCCTTCTTGCCGCGCGACGGGCCTCCTGGGGGTACCCGTGCTCACCGGTTTTCATCAACAGAACGCCTCGAATTAGTGGCTTAGTTATTGCCTTATCCTCAGCGATATAGAGAGCCTAAAGGAGTTCTCTACAAGAAATGAAATACCAAGGAGTAAGAATTCACCCCTCTTTCTCCCTCGTTGATCGTTCGAGATCTTCCACGAAATGAGAAACGTATTTTTGAGCGCAATCTCGTCCGTGAGCGCAGTTCTTTACCGACAGATTGTCCCAGCACACCCTCGTTGACAAGTTTCCACGACAAATCTCGATTTCTACGATCTAATTAGCGCGAAAAAAGTCGCGACCTAGTTTACGCGCAATGTGGAAAGTACGTGGACGAGAAACCGACAGAACTCGTCCCATTTTCTAGCCAGCGTCTAGGTGTTGTTCCGGCTGGCTGAAAGAACCTCCTCCTCTCCCAGACGTAGATAAGATAGGCTTGCTAATGTGCTAGCCAGACCACGGGTTCAAACAAGGAGTTGCTGATGATCGATTTCATGGACGGTCGTTCCCTAACACCGATATGTTTGCTTACTCGCGAAAAGAAGGGCGAGACCAGTGATAGTGTGACAGGTGACGAGACAACCTGTCACATCGCCAAGGTGATAATGTGCGCACATTAAGCAGCGCTGAACCGTTACACCTTCCCACAGGATTGGAATTTTGTGGCACGGACAACTTGAAATGAAGCCAGCGGAGCACCGAGATAATATGGGTGTGGTGACTTAACACCTAGGATTTCATCAGGGTCTTGAGAAGGGCCAGAAAAGCAAGTTTTGGCAAGGCAAAGTTTTCGCTGAGTGGCTATAAACCACCTATTTCGTGATCAGTGATGCAGGGATGAAGGAAAAACCAGAAAAAGACTTGTAACTCCAGATATTGGACCCAGGGTCAAACGCTTCGATCGAGGGGTCGCATTTATGATTTAGGGAACAGGGACGCATTTTGAAGTGAGTAAGGTTGAAGCATAGCGGGAATGGAGGTTGATGGAGGCCGCTAGAGGGGGAAGGGTTGTGCTTGAACGGGTTTTTGACGAATTTGATGAATGTTCTACGAAAGTAGGGAGAATTAAACAATATTGGTGGATTTGGAGTTTTACCAATTTACCACCCCCTCCCAAGCTTGACGGCCGTTTTGAAGGAGAAAGTGGACGGGGTTGGGAAGGCGGAAGGGAGATATTGGGGATCCATCCCGGAATGATGGTGGTGGGGGGTCGCATCGAGATCCCCCCTAAGGGGGAGGGGGTCGCAAAATTTTTGAAAAAGTGCAAACATGACGGCTCCCCCCCCCCAGCTGACCCTGATTGGACCCCCTTTTGCCCATTGTTTGCGCTTGTCAAGCGTGTCTCATTGGTGATGACCTAACCAACGCTATCGCTCTGTCTGCTGGAGCGTCTAGAACTTTTCTGCTGAGTAGCTAATTTTCCCACTGTACCCGACAGGTAAGAAATTCTTCCAAATTCTTGTAATCATACCGCGATAACGGGCGGAAGTGGTGTAGTGGCAAGTGGCGCGCTTACCACGCGAGCGGTCCGGGGATCAAATCCTGGGTCGTGAGTCGCCCGGGCCAACCAAGCCTTCCATCCCTCCGGGGTCGGTTAATTGGTACCAGACTTGTCTGGAGGATAAAAAACTTGACATCGGCTGGCCCCCGCAAGTCATTGTATAGGCCACATCGCATTCAAATGCCACTACGAATTCAAATGGAAGTAGAATGCGTGGCGCATTCCAAAGCGGGATTGATCGATACCGAATGCTTTATCCGGCGCTATCGCAATATACGGGGGCATCCTTCAGGGGTAAGCCGAGGAGGGGGCAGGTACTTCGGGAAAAAATGAAAATAGCTCTCTACTGGATTTTCTAATCATGCGCCTGAGGCTAAGCGACGACTTTAACAAGAGGGAGATGCTTTATGCGATTTTAGTGCACTGCCACCACAGTGCCCCGGTATCTTGCGATAGCGCCCTTTATGCTATGCTTTAATGCGATAACAAGGGCGAAAGGGTAGTGGCAGATGGCGCTGCGTCCACGCGCAAGGTCCAAAGATCAAATCCTGAGTTGAGCGTCGTCCGAGCCAACCAACCTTCCATCCCTCCGAGACCATACAAAGACTATCTTGAGACGCAAAAGGAAACTTGGAAGCTTGGCAGGGAAAATTTGTGCTATTGAAGTACCTACCTGTTGAACTTCGGCACTGGTGCTACGGAACAGCTCGATGTAGCGATTTCCGATTGTCTGGCGGTGCTTTGTCAATGCTCGTTGTCCTTGCTCTTCATCGGAAAACTGCACGAATGCGTCTCCTAAAACAGCTGTCCATACGATTGATTCTTCATCACAGGCATTAGGCCAGGATGCCTTCGCCCAAACGACACTACCCGTTTGCAAACGCTTGTGGCGTTAGCGCGGCTGATGGCTGCGTAATGGCAAAAACCAAGCCAGGCGCATTGTGTTTCCGAATGGTGTCCACATTGGAACCGCCTCGTCACACACTCACCTGTAGGCCTTCCATCGCTTCTCGTCACGAACAACACACTCTCCATCATCTCACAGCTGTCCGGTTCACGTGCAAAGAAGTCACGCTGAAATGGGCTTCATAAGGTCATTTGTTTTTGTTTATCCGCCGATCAGCTGGGTTGTTTATGCCGACCGGATGGCCATGTGTGGTTGTTATAATGAATTTATTACTCGCGTTCCACTCCCATTCACAATACGATTCGCCCACCAGAAGGATGAGCTATATGTCAGTACCCTCATCTGGCACATCGTTGTACGAAGAAATTATAGCATACATGTCCATCCCCTCCTGGGAAATACAAGGCGGCGTTCAGAGTTGGCGATCATGCATGCGACTGAGCGATCAAGCGATTAGGCGATGATTGAAATAGAAAGCATACGTATCGATCAGGCGATTAGATGAATACGCGAATAGAAAAGGTGCGTTCGCCAGTGCTCTATCCATTCGTGGTGGGACCACTGAGGGAAAATTTTGGGGTTGAGTGGCACCATAAGGTAAAGGTGTAAAGAAATCGAATGAATGGGAGACGTTGTGGCGACGATGCATGAAACAACACGACGTTATGTGTCATACGTAACTATGAGACGAAGGCTTTACAACTTTACAACGACTACAATCAGGATTACAGCACAAACTCCAGAATGCTCAAAATCGAGAGGCCTAGCGCTTCTTTTAGGCTTCATATTTACCACTGCAAGACTAAAAGAACCGTCCCGTAGGAGCTGCTGATGTTCATGGAGATCCATCTGTTAAGGCTTTAGCCTGTGCTGAACTGCAGATACGCGTTTTCCAAAAAAAGAACTTCAATTTCGCAGTTTTTATAACAACACGGGCGTTTTTCTTTCCGCTACGACCCCATTTTTCCGGAAAAGTACCAATTCATTTCTTTTTTATAGGAGGCGCAATCAAGTGAACAAAATTTGACCAAACCGATGAAAGGGCAGAAGCTTTCGGCCCCAACAATCCCTTATTGGGATACGCCATGCAATCTGTTTCCATTCCATATCGTCTTTGAAGGAAAAATAAAGCACAGCGCAATCCTTTCTGAGATACGCCATGCATTCTGTTTCCATTCAGTATTGTCATAACTTTTGAATGCACTTTAACCATTAACGAGTTACTCGGGGCAGCTGGTATGGGAGTCAGTGTTTCTATCCTCTCATACAAATCTGGTACCAATCAGCCGACCCCGGAGAGAAGGAACATAAATGGTTCGATACCATCCATGATTTGACCCGGCCGTCCATGAGCGGCGCCTCTTCTCACTTCACCACCTCCGTCGTAATCGAATCGCTTACAAAAGAATATTCAAGATGATTTGCCTGATGTGCCACTAAGTTCGCTACCTCGTCACGTTCCGAAGTGGAGCATGCTTGTTGTGGCGCGGTTGAGGTGGAATCGACCCAACGCTTCGAATATCATCAGATGGCGCTATCGCAAGATACGGGGGCATTGTGATGGCACTGCATTCGAAACCCGCATTCAAAACCCCTTAAAACATATTCCTTTTGTTCACCAGGGGACTAAACCTTAGGCGTGAGAGGAGATACCAAATAGGAAATCCAGGGTGGGCGAGCCATTTTAATTTTTCCCGGAGTTCCTGTCCCCTCCTAGGCCTTGGGTGCCCCGTATATTGCGACAGCGCCTATCAGATGTTCATGCACGTTAACTAGAACCCAGCTTCCCCGTCGAGCCGCCATCTCCCTTGCTTTGCTTCGTGCAGGTGAATAAACACTCGAAAATGAGCAATCAGTTCTCCCTACCACACCGAAAGAAGCGTCTGACAGTGATAGCCGCCCGATTACACATTTCTCCTGCGATTTCAGACTAATCTTTGGTAGATAGAGATGGTCATCAAACGTTCACCAGTGAGTGACATCATTGTGAAGGAGGGTGTGATGGATGAATTCGGTCGAAAAAAAATTAACAGACGCCGTTAGTCCCAAAATGGGGCATTTTCCTGGAGCCATTGAATGTCAATTGCGAGGCCACGTCGATGCTATCTGTCAATGGCGTCATCGATGAACAACAGAACGACTTTAAAAGCACACGCAAAAAGCCAGCTTATCAATGAAGTGTTAGCGGCTTAACCGTGACCACAAAAATAGTTTCTGGCTTAGCGCTGAGTGAACCGCCAAAGCGTT